CAACCAAAGAACCCAATAGGGAGACCAAGAAAGAATGCTTCTGCAAATGTTCCTGTTCCCTCAACATTTACAATGCAGTAGTTGGTTATTTAGATGCACTGTATTAAGAATCAAAAGGATTTAGTTTGTAATCATAGTTTCATGTTACTAATGTTATATTTATTAAATTATTAATATATTTTTTTTAAAAATTTATAATGTTATATTTATTAATGTTGTATTTAATGCTATATTTTTAGGATTAATGATATATTTATTAATTTTTTTAATAGCTAATGGTCCCCGATTAATCCCGCCTAGCCGATTAATCCCTTGACTCCAATCCACCGATTAGCCTACGTCGAGCGATTTCTACAACCTTGGTTGTTATAAAACATATCGTTGTGTGTAATTTGATAAGTAAGTACAAGCGGGCATTTGGGTCGAAGTTTATCCGTTCCTTTTACCCCATGTGGATAAAAGTGATATTTGTGGGCCCCTTGATGATTTAGTGATGACACCAGGCCTGGATTGATTTTATTTGTTCAATTAGTCGGTCATCATAAATCAGAAATCGGGAAATAACAGATGGATAGAGAGAATGATTACAATCCATGTCTCAATCCATACGATATCTACAATGGAGGAATATATGATCCATTATCTAATGGACACGTCATTGACTAGGTCAGAGTTCGACAACTAGTTTTAAGAGTTACGAATGCTAGTCGGGTTGGAGTTATGCTTGTAATAATAGTTATTAGACGTATCTAAGTTGGAGACTGTTGGATTAGGTGTCTAAGCCCATAACTATTATTGGTATGTACTTGACCCGAGAGTACCATGGTCCATTTGGGTTGCATAGCACCGGAACAATCTAAAGGATGGATAATTAAGAAGAGGTTATTTATGGTTTATTAATATATTATAAGTTCTAATATATTAATATGAAATCATATTATTTAATTAGTATTGATCAAGAATTAATTTGGAATTAATTTTATGATCAAAACAGACTAATTAAATATAAAGGGTTGATTTGGTAAATCATTCATTCTTATAAAGTGGGCTTATGATCCACATTTCTTCATGTTGGGCTAAACCTATGTGGTAACCCATGGATACTTCATGGAGGTTTTAACCCATGGAGAATGAGGGATATGGAAAGTCATTAGGGTTTACATGGTGTAACCCTAGTTTGCCACATTATATAAGAACCCCTGTCGCTCATGAAATTAGCACTTAAGTGGCACTAAGGAGTAACTAGTAGGAACACAAGAGGGCTAGCCGAGTTTATCAGTGCAAGTGACATCTTCTCAAGTTCCTCCATTTTTTGGTGGTGTTGTGTGATTCCATTTGAGGTGCAACACTTAGGGCAATAAGTTCTTAAAGGTCCAAGGCTTCAACCACACTAAAAGGTATGTCATCTAACTTGTATTTCATGTTTTTATACTCCATTGTATACTAGTTAGGATGATGCTTTGGAATATTGAATTTTTGCATGTATAATAGAGAAAATATACATCCAAAGCATCTAGGGTTGCATGTACACCATAGGAGTGTTAGAATGCTCAAAACCCAAAAGTTAGATATGTATTACTACCTGTATCTAATAGCTATTGATTGTTATGGTGTATGTTGATATGTTATGGGTTACTGGGTCAAGGCAGACCAACTGAGACCGAAGGACAAGACACCCTGGGCGGTCCGGATAGACTTAAGGCCTGCAAGGCAGTCCAGTCAGGCCAAAGGCCTAGAGAGCGGTCCAAATAGGCTGAAGGCCCGATGAGGCGGTCCGGTCATGCTAAAGGCTTTATATGCATGTTGTTGTTTTGTTATGCGATTTTACTTTGGGGGAACTCACTAAGCGTTGGTTTATGGTTTTAGTTTTGTTTCAGGTACTTCTGAGGACCCTGACAAGACGAATGCATGATCGTGCACTTCCTTCGGTTTTATGTTATCTGGATTTTTGGAACACTCTAATTTCTAAGAAACACTTTTGAAACAATTATTACTATTTTTGAGAAACAGTAAGCCTAATCAGCCTCCGAGATTTCATCTGTCTCCTATAGAAAGTCCATATACAGCCTGAAACAAGCACCTAGAGCATGGTTCCACTAGTTCACTGAGTTTATCACACATGTCAGCTTCATTCATAGCAAATCGGATTCATATTTATTCGCGTATACGAACGACAACTCTACCAGTTTCTTATTACTCAATGTTGATGACATCATCCTCCGTTGGTTTGATTAGACGCATCGTCTCTATTCTCTCCACCGAGTTTTCCATGATAGGTCCAGGTAACCTCTCATATTTTCTTTGCATTTTAGTTACACAGAATGAGTTGGGCTTATTCTCTCTCAACGCAAATACTTTTGATCTTCTTGATCGCACACATATGTCATCGTGCAACCCATGTCACACTCCAACTGATATTGAGATGAAGTTAGATCACACGGGCAATCCTGTTCAGGATCCAACTCCATACCGGAGCCTAGTTGGTGGTCTCCAATACTTGACCTTCACTCGAACTAATATTGCATATATCGTTCAACAAATTTGGCTTTACATGCATGATCCCCGTGAGCCTCACCTTCACGTGCTTAAGCTCATCTTACGCTACATTCAGGGTACTCTAGGATCATGGTCGTCAGATTCACCCCCCATCCACTACAAGCCTCACTGCCTACTCTAATGAAGATGCTGGGAGATATCCTGCTTCTCAGCACTCCACCAGTGGCTACTGCATTTATCTTGGTGACAATCTCATTTCTTGGTCATCAAAGCAACAAGCCACTGTCTCTCGATCTAGCACGGAAGCAGAATATCGAGGTGTCAGCAATGTCGTGGCCGAAACATGCTTGCTTCACAATCTTCTTCAAGAACTCCACTGCTCATTGCCCAAGGCTACCATTGTATATTGTGACAACGTCAACACAGTGTATTTATCGACTAATCCTATGCAACACCAACAAACCAAACACATCGAGATATATATACATTTTGTTCAGGATAAAGTTGCTACTAGGCAAGTCCGAATCCTTCATATCCCTTCCGACCTTTAGTACGCGGACATATTCACTAAGGGACTTCCATCATCATTTTTCACAGAGTTCAGATCCAATTTTAGAGTCCGATCTTGATCTCCCGCTCATACTGAGTGAGCATATTAGTGTATATTATATATGTATATTGTATGTTGTATAGGCAGTCCACTTAGCTTAGCCCATTTATATTTTCAGCCCATTTGTGTTGTAACAATTTGTACGTATATGTTGTGTGGAATGAAGGGAATACGTTTATGGAAAAAAACATTCTAACCCTAATAATCAGTTGTCGGGAAATATGATTATTCTGACTGAACTCCGGTTAGACAATTTCAATCATTATTTGTGATGATGTAGAAGGACCACAAAGTGTTTATGTAATTTGATATTGTACTTATGTAACATCCAAATGGGAAATAGTACAGTTTTGTATTTCAATTATGGTTGTTAATATTATATAAAAAACTGTTATTATATATTTTAATAAGTTTTAATTTTCTAATTTTCTGTAGAACCATTTTTACTTGGTCCAAAGTTAAAAAATTTCCAGCTTTACGTACAAATCTGCTTTTGCATGAAATAACAATCATTCTTTCCTGTTTTTCATGCAATTTCGGGGACATAACTTGGAAAAAGTTTGAAAATGTTGCTGCCTGAAAGGACATAAATGTTGTATAATACTCAAATAACAAAACAAAATATTTATTCGTAGTTTTTTTGTAAATAATGCGAGGAAATAAACAACTTATACATTTGTAACAAAATCAACGATACCACGATGTATATAAAATTATATACCATAAACTTCACCATTAAATTTTTTAATCGTCTAACGAAACAATTGTGACACCGGCACTCTGTTTTGTTATTTCATCAAAATCTATTAAATTTGTAGTACTAAAAGAAAGTTCGACACATCTTATGTAAAAAAATACTATAACAGTAATTATATATAAATAGTATTCCGATAAGAACGAAACATGAACAAAATTATAGATGTAGGTGTCAAATGAGATGATGGTCAAAGGTTGAAAGTTGAGACCCACACGAGGAATGTTGATTGAAGCAAGTTTACTTTAAGCGAATGATTATATGAATATGTAATGATGTGGTTACGAAAAAAGCCCACGTTAACTCCTTTAATGTTCAAAATCATCATTAGTTTCCACCAAATTTAGGCCAAAATTTTTACATCAAAATCGTAAAGCAAAACCACCACCTAAAGTCCACTTTTCCACACCCACCCCATCTACATTTCTTCCTTTTCTTCACCAATAAATATAGAAATGTGCTTGTATGAACATATCGCATAACATAAACTATTGCTATTGTCGGTATACAAAAAGAAAAAAAAAAAAACAAATATATTTGTAAATATGATAAAGGAAGAAAAGTTAGTTGCTATAGAGCATGATCACTATTGATTTTGTAATTCTTTTTCTTCATAGTGATTGGACTAAAAGTATTCTGATAAGAAAGTAAACGGAAGTAATGATGAAATTAAGCTTTTCATTAATATAAAATGATAGATATTGCATGGTGACATGCAATTCAAATATTACAAAACATTAATAGGTCAAAAGAAACAAACACAATCTTTTGCATTATTGGAAAGACTGAGCTGTGTTCAATTCTTGTACTTCATATTGGACCATTAGCATAAAGAAAGCCAAATCTAATCATAAAACTTGAACTCATGGTAATGGAATCATTCTGTCATGACATAACATCTTTCATAATTCAAGTTATATATATAAAAAAAAAACACAACAACATTTCATGCATTTATTCATACAAAAAAAGAGAACCCGCGATCTTTGTCAACATGAATTTGCAAGATTCATTTAATTTAATTAGAACTGAATTTACCCCTTCCCAATTCAAATTAATCCATACATATTAAAAAAAATAAAAACCAAGAAAAAAAAAAGACCCCACTAGCTCTTTTCCATTTTTCTAGGGTTTCCATTATCATGCATCCGTCCATGCAGCAAAAACAGGAATATGTGGCCTCATCTGATTCGCTGCTGTCGGAATCCATGCATCAACTCCACCACCCGATGAACCACCAAGAAAGTTGGAAGCCGACGGCGGCGTTTCAAGAACCATCGGAAGATTATTATTATTATTACTATTATTATTGTTTCTTTCAGGGCTATCTTCTCTCGAGCTACTCAAACTTGTCACCAATGAAGAAGCATTCGACAAATGTGTTCCAAGTTTAGATGACTCATCTCCCTCGATTCCGACTCCATTACTACTTCCATTCTGATCATAAAGTGTCATTTTCCAGTCCAACATGTTCCTGTTTATGGTGGGCTCACTTGACATGGTTTTAGGTTCGCCATTAATAAGTGGTTGTTCACACAAGAGCTCGTTTGTGGGGTCTACTTTGGTTCGCCTAGCTAACTCTCCTGCTAAAAGGGTATTACTCGCAATAATCTTTTCAACGTTATACCTTGAAATATCAAAATTCGTAACTGCATTCACGCCACGAAACTTGATAGCAGCTACATCGTAAGCCTCAGCAGCCTCCTCTTGAGTGCCTGTTTAGAAAAGATCGTGTTTTTAAGATGTATGTAAATGTAAATTGTGATGAGTAATTACATTAGTGTAGAAGATAAGTGCAAGTTGAAGTTATATGTGGAATGAAAAAATGAAAAGGGAAAAGAATAATGTAGAAGTAAGTTGGGTCCCACTCAACATGGCTTTTGTGACTTGTACGAAAAACTGAAAATGCAGGAAAGACATAAATGACACAAAAACATGCATTGGCCATTGGATGGAAGAGAGTGATCAGAAGATGCTCTTGATAAAATCAGCCTTCTTTGTTGACAAAAACAGCTTTGATCATCTTCTTAAAAGTCAAGATTTTCAGAGATTTTAGGGTCTGGCATTAGGGTGTTTTAAAAGCATTCATTTATATATATATGAATGTCTTGTTTATTCTTTTATGAAAAGACAACTTCAATTATAAAAAGTTCACTTAATTTAATTTAAAGTTAGAAAAATTATCAGAAAAATCTCAATATTTTAAAAAAAGTTACGTTTTAGTCCTAAGGTTTTTTTTAACATAAAAGTTACGATTATTTAATTTTGGCGCAAGTTTATAAAAAAATCATTTTTTCTTTTAACAGGAAATGACATATTATCGTAGGGAATGACATATTATCGTGTTTTTTTTATATAATCAGGACTTTTATGTTTAAAAAAAAATTGGTACTAAAATGTAAATTTTCTGAAAATATTTGAACTTTTAATTTTCCTTTAAAGATATTGGTTATTAACCTCTAAAAAAAATAAAAAATTTATATGCATAAGAATTTAAATTTCTACTTACTGAATGTGCCAAGGTAAAGATCTTTGTTCCCTGCCACACGGCCGATCCTAGCTTGCCATCGACCATGTTGATGGTGTCTGAAATTAAAAAAAAAATAATAATTATATTACATTATTTAAAAAAATATAGATGAAGATATATGTAAATAGCAATTATGATGTACTTCTAGACCTTGTTACTCCTCTATAGACTGAGGCACCTCTAGAGAAACCACTGCTTCTCCTGAAAACATTAAAACCAAAATTAAATTATTGGTTTTTAAACACATTAAATAATATCGGCTAGTAATAATAATTAAAATATTGTAGAATATGTAAGTTCAAAGATCTAGTTGCCTTCTTAAGTGAGCTACATATTCCTGTCTCGACATGTTCTTCATTTCCACAACTTCGTGTTCATAGTTTTCCAACTGACAAATTAATTAAAAAAACATAATAATTAATAACATGCTAGAGTTTAAAATTTAAATAATATCTATATGATCATTAAATTAGTTAGTTAACATGTTTAAGGAACACCGAAAATATACCGGAAAATTTATGTGAGTCGCAGGACCCCAATATTTAAGTGCTGCTAAATCATACGCTCTAGCAGCTTTCTCTTCCATATCATAACCACCTATAAATCATTAATATAAATATTAACATATCGAACTCATTTAATTTTCTATCTTTTTGTAGAAACTTTAAACAAATTATATGAAAACAAGAAACTCAGGCTTACCCAGATAAACTAACGCACACGTTTCAATCCAGCAAACAAGAAACATAAAAATTGGTAAGAATGTGTAGTAATAATTATTAGTCAAACATAAAAGTATATGACAAAGTATAAAAAGTCAACATCGTTTAATAATGGTGTTTTCATTTCTAACCTTGTCTTCCCTTCCTACTTTGGCCCTCTTTCTTGCAACTGTTGTCCCACAAATGCGCTTCATATCTTCCAGTCCATCTATGCCTGATAAAGATTCAGATTCAGAGTCATTTATCATATAAAAACTAGAAAGATCGATAAAGTAGTTGAAGAAATAGCGAGAATTTAGTTAATGAACCTTGTAACACCTCGATACTGCGAGGTTCTTTGACCGAAGGTATCCAACGACTTTCTATGAACAATCTGCTTCTGTTGATCCACTTTCTCAGAACCTCGTTTCTTCGTATCCAAAACGACGCAATCAGCGACATTAGGAGGAGGTATGATTTGTTGCTGTGAATGCGATCCAGTGACACAAGGGGTTGACTGCGAGCAATTTCCGAAGCTCATTGACAAACTAAGCGACTGTAAATCACCATAACCACCGCCACCGCCACCACCACCACCATGATCGCCGGAAGCAACGCCGGAATGATAGTTTCTTGAAATCCAGTTCTTCATACCAGTGATGTCGTCATCTTCTCCGATACTCGGTAGATGAAGGTTACAAGTATCTGAAACGATATTCTGGTCCTCTTTGACTTCCTCTTGTTGTACTGTTTGGTACAAAGCTCTGAAACCGGAGTAATCTGGGTAGTGTTGGGTTTGAATCTGGTGTTGGTGATGCCTATGGTTGTGTTGTAGAGTCTCATGATGATCAGGATTTTGGTTGTAGTACATTGTACTACTATCTAAACCAAGAGCCATTGTAGCTCCTCCTCTGTCGAAGTCAGGGGTCCCCATTGTTACACCACCGAAAAAATTCTCAAGTTTTGGTGGAGTCGAACTAACCATTCCTAAAAGACAACACATTGTTTGAAAACTTTTTAATCATAAAAGGAAACATAATGAGCGATCGATAACACAAACAAAAAACTAAAAAACAAAAAACAAAAAACAAAAAACGAAAAACGAACCTTGTGATTGTGATCTGGTGATGGCTTCCATTAAGCAAAGGGAACCATCGGACTTAAGGGGCATGATAGGGAAACCAGAGTAAAGCCCACTTCCATTTTCACCTTCGACTCCATGACAATAAATGTTTGGGTAGTTGAAATGCGAAGGGAGGTTGAAATAAGTAGTGGGGTTTGATGAAGAAGAAGAAGAAGGGTGATGCGAAGCTTCGGAAGGTGGTGCACCTTCCATTGTTGATGTTGTAGTGGTTGTGTTCATGTGAGGTGAAAGAGAGAAACCCAACCAGTTGTTGTTAGTGTTTTTGTTGTCGTCATTGTGTTCGTTGTTGTTGTTGATCATGGACTTCATTTTTTTTTTCTAAGTATCGAACACACTTTCACACTTGGAATAAAGAAAAAGGGATCGCTAAAGCTTACTGAATCATTGGGGAGATTGAAAACTAATCATAATACTTTGCGTTCCCTCCATTTTTGAAAACTAATAACAAGGTAAGTGGAATGAAGTAAGAAAGGTGTAGAGTGTTTTCTTTACTTTTCTTTTCTTTTTGTGTTTTTATAATTTCCTAGTTGTGGTTTCTATAGAAACAGAATCTATATAGATATACACACAAGGAGTATATATTTATAATAAATCAAATCAAAAGGTAGCAACTAGCAAAAGCACAAACTGATCACTAGATAAATTTGTTAAATAAAAATTTATCCGAGATGTTCTTTATCTGCCCTTCACTCTGAAAAGATTTCTAAAGGAGAACAAAGCAACTTCCTTTAAACTTATACAAAAAGAATGAGTTTACAGCAAACAATGCTGGCATCCTTCCTGCATACCATTGGGATCCGTGCGAGAGAAAGACCACCTCTTTTGCTTTTCCTCTCTCTATTCTATATATATTTTTTTCTTTTACTTTATGTGTGATACATGGATATATAGATGTGATATGTAATGTGTATAATGTGCATTTATATGCAATTTATGGTATATTCTTTAAACTCTTTATATCTCTCAACCCTAGCCTTGTTAACATAATCCGTATGTACTAAAAGGATCATAAAAAGGTCGAGATCTTATTCTGTGGTCACACAAATTTGATTACGGATTCCAACTATTTAAAAAAAAAAAAAAAAAAAAAGGAGTCCATTAACAAAAAAGAATTAAGAATTAATATACTTTGTGTAATAGTCACATAATTAAGTATACTTGTCACACAAATATGTTAATTAAACCATATGTTATTTATATAGTTTTATACTTGTTGTCAAACGATTATAAACAAGAAAAGCATCGTTCAAGATTTGACTTGGATATTCAAAAGATGAAACTTGCACTCTTACGCTTTTCTTTTTCACTTAACAAGTTATAGATTTAGATCCCTTAAATCACTCCTTTTATATATCCATCTTTAATAGGTTAATATTTCGATATCGGTAGAACAAGATGTGAAGTGATTAATAAGTTGAATCCTTCCAAAAGATTCAAAGACAAGAAAAGTAAAGATATCCAAAGACATGACAATCAAAGTTATGAAAGAAGGTCTGTTGATGCTCAGTGAACTGCAAGAGAGAGAGAGAGAGAGAGAGAGAGAGAGAGAGAGAGAGAGAGAGAGAAAGAAGCTAAGATAGATTTTCTTTTCACAAGAAGCAAAAAGACAAAAAAAAGCCCAGTTGTAAGCTTCTCATAGGGTGACAACAGTAACCCTTAAATACGTAAATAAGTTTGATATTTGTGGGTTTTAGAGGTTCTACAATTGTCAATGTCTACATGGGTCTAGACACATACACTAGTGGAGTAATACTCCCTCTCTGATGCTTACTGCATACAGCTTACTGATGACTCCTTATGCATTTCGCTAGGCTTCTTTTGCTATAGCTAAGCTATGGATATAGTATGTGCCAATAGGGTGGGTTCATATTCATATCATAGCTTGTCTGATGAGAAGTGCCTTGACAATGAGCTAAACGACGCCGTTTCAGTGTTGGCAGAAAACAACATACTGAAACAGGGTAAAGTAATTGCTCCATCCTTTTGGACTCTGGTTAAACAACGATATATATGTTTTGACTGACAAATCAACACAGTAGTGAAGCCCATGACCCTAGTACATAATTAATATATTATATATATATATATATATATATATATATATATATATATATATATATATATTATTATCAAGAAACGATTTTTATCGTTCTTTTTTCATGTGGGTATATCTATAATTCTCCGTCATCTTTGTTTTTATTATATAATAAGGTTTATACTACTAGCTATAGCAAAAATGGGAAAAATAAACAAGATTAGGGTTGCATGAAATTCTTGCATGACAAAGTCATATATATATATTTATATTCATGGAGACAGATTTTCCAGTAGGAATAATTAGGTGTTTTTGGAAAAGGTAAGAGAGAGAGAGTGGTGATGGGAAAAAAGAAAAAGGAAATTTTGTACTGTGAAGAGTAGTGGGGGGAAGGGGTAAGAGAAAGAAATATCCACCCGACCACACTCACCCCACCCTTAAATTCTTTTTTTTTGATTGTTGTAATGATGGGAGTAAATCAATTCAACCATAAAACAGAACACATTTTGTAATTTTCCCTAAAATAGTTAAGATCCATAGTTAATAGAGATATATATTTTTGCAGTATAATCTGCTTCTCGTTCAGATAGAATCAACTTCATTATTTCAGTATTATCTTTTGAAGAATTTAAGAGAGGTTGAGAAAGAATATATATATCCTTTTTTATTTTTATTTTTTTTACTAGTTCCTTTGTCTGCTTTAAAAGAGTCATCTCATTACACCACTTTTCAATTATTGAACCTCTTTGGTTCTTTTTTACCATACCAAGGCCATTATGCCTCCATCACTTGACCCCTACTCTCATTTCACCCTAAATTATCACACCCCTCAAAATCAAAGTTTAAGTCTTTTAGAGTTTTATTGTTTTTTTTTTTTTTTTTTTTTTTTTTTTTTTTTTTTTTTTTTTTATCAAATGAATCACCATAAAATAGCTTCAAAAAATGAACAATGAGAGAAAAACAACTATGTATCTATTGGATGTTTAAAATGTTGGGGAGTCTCAAACATACTCAACTACCATACTTCAATTTTGTGTATCTAAACTCTGCTTCAAAGTACAAAAGGTTATTAATAGTGCATCTGGCTTTTCATGACTTTTGAGTACTTTGACCACTAATGGGGATGAGAAGAAGGTGTTGTACCCTCAACTTGAAGAAAAGAAAGAAACCACAAGGGAAGTGGCTTCTTTGTAGAACCACCGCAGTGTGAGTTTCAGTTCCGATATGTATAGATTCTTTATACGCGAACAACCACTAACGGAATCATTCACTACACAAAGATAGGTTGTCGATGAATCCTCCAAAACTTGTAATAACCGAGGCCACGGATGACAATATTATAAGATAAACATTCATTAGAATAATATAAGGAAAATTGAGTACACTAACCTCTCTATAAACACTAATTCAATAAAAATAACTTTTTTTTTTCAAATGTGGAAACATGACAGTTTTCTATCGAATTTGGTCATTCTAAAACAATAATATTTAATTATTTATTCTAGAGTAGAGGGTGGTAGATAGATTTTGGAATATGATATGTATAGTCGTACATTCTAAACTATATATCCATATTACGGAATGTTATTCTATATTTCGGACACAAAAAATAGAGGTTTCTCCCCTACATAACATGTGTATTCTATTTATTTTTCTTTCACTTACAACCAAATATTTGTAATTGTGACTTATAATTTCTTTAGAATAAGTTTCTCACATAGCAAACATGAAAAAAGTTTGGTCAATTTATCTGCTTACTTGTATAACCTTAGAAAAATAAACCATCGTAATCAGAAAAGATGTTGTAGATAGTCTTCAACTTTGTTTTTTTGGCTCTTGGGTGGTAAGATAATTTTCTTCCAAATTTGAATTGTTTATTTAAACTCTAACGTATTTACAATTAATTGTTTTAATTTACCAAAAAATGTATCTTTATACATTCATAGCGTGTATGATGTGTATCTTCTTTATATATACTGTTGCTCTAAGAGAGGACTATATACATACAATTTTCATAGCGATTGCTATGGATAAAAACAACCAAACCCTACGTATAGAGTTTTGTCTAAGTGTGAAAAATAGTGTGGACTCTTGTACTTGGTTTTTAGTGAGACTGAAGGAAGTTCTTTGGGATGCTAAGAAAATATCGTTCATAATCAATATGTATAGTGTGATAATTTTTCCCTAGGTCATGTATTCCTTGATTTATACCTTCAGTATTGTTGTAAGAGTGTGGATAATGTTGTGCGTTGTAGAGCTCGTTGAAACACCACATTTGATCATTTGTTCCGGTAGACTTGCAAATCATATATAATTTCTGATTTTCAATAAAACTTTCGTCAACCGTGACATGCCGTATGTAAATAGATTGCTAACATCGGTAATGCGAAATCGGAAAAATCTTATTTTCCTAACATCCTTTGGAATGTACTCAACGTTGATATGTCAGTTGCCATCAGAATGCTATTGGTTCATGAATGCCATTTACCGATAATAACTTTCATTGAGGTTGTTTGTGAGTACAGACAACGAATTTTCCTTCGACATAGTGACTTGTGAGGTAAAAATACTATATAAATAACGGAATATTATTTAGTAGTAAAATGACCAAAATCATGATGTTTTTTTTCGGGAGGGGGGGGGGGGGGGATTTAACTGTGTACTTACTCTGTATGTAGAGATGATCCTTCAGTGGAGGATGTACAAGTTCAATTTGGTGGTTGTCACACCCCCAAACCAGAACGGCGGTAACGTCTGGGGGCGAATGGAGTGACTTCATGTATAGTATCATAACAATTTTATAGTAATGAAAAATAGCAATACCAACATTCATATATTGAGATTTCAAGTATTACATTGTTTACAAAAACTTAGTTGCTCAAAGTCGAATACAAATAACTGAAAAGTAGGGAAAACATGAAATGACAACGCCAACCCTCAAGAAGGGTTGAGTACTTGTCTGCTGGTTTCTTGAGAATACAAGTAGTTTTGAAAAGTATTAACTAAAAAGTTGGTGAGTTCATAAGAATGTTTTGTATAAAATGGATTTGTATTTATTTAGAATAGTTCTCGTAGTACTTTAAGAAAATATGATATTTTCTATGACAAATGTTTGTAACTCTCGTTTTAAAATCGTGAATATTTGCATGCATGTCCTTTGTTTTCTTTTCCTTGTAAAGTAATTATGCATAATTCTAGAAAAAGAAAATGCATTATTTTCTTAAAGGTGAACTGTGGTCTTATACCCTAAGACCACGATGGAAGTGAATATCGTACAGAGAATAGTTTATAGATTCATTTCTTTCAGTAAAACTAATGAAGTGTAAGCTTCCCGTAAACCAAAATTGTCTTGTTAATCCATATGTGAGTCATTATAACCATGCTTGATGTGACTGATATGCCCGTCATGACGTTCTTTAGGCGTCACTTTCGGTAAGGTATTTGTCACCCTAGACTGGCCACGTCCAACTCTAGCGAACAACTCAGGTGTGGGGTGTCAACTCGTATAGATCTATACACAATTAGCTCGCTCTCGCTCTAGGAAACTCTGGTTATAGCTACAGGACATACGGTGTACGCTAGGTAGGTTCGGTGAAGGAAAGTCTAACAAGAGTCTTAACAGATTTACACGATTTTTGACTCGCATTATTCAATAATGAAAATGACATTACTAGTGTAAATTCATAACTGAAGTTTTATGACACGCTTTTACAGATTTATGACATACAACTTATTGCTCATGCTTTAAAAGCTTTATGTTAGACAAGTCATGAGAGACGAATCTTTCTGTCACAAATTCTGTTTTGTATACCATTTTGGCTCAATTATTTATAATA